TTTGGCATTTGTGCAATTATTGTGGCCTGATTAGGCTCTGAAGCTGAGAGGCACTCAGCTGTGACTCTGGAAAATTCTGAAAGCCAGGAGTCATCACTAGGGACAGCTTCCTGGACACACCCTTCAGGCTAGTACCAGGACACCTGCCAAAAGGGCTACATCTGCCACCATCTGCCTTACTCCTGGGTCTCATTAAAAGTATTTATAGAGCTCCTGTCTTTTCCTTAGAATTTCCATTTCTTCTTTGTTCCAAGAACTATAAAACTTCATCAATTAATTGGTAACCACAGGAACAAGAACAGGGTTCTTTTAAATAAGTTGTGTAAAAAAGTTATTACAGTGGCTCCACATAGAGCTGCTCAAGAAAGGAACCAAGTTAACTCCAGAAAGGACTGAGCTACAGATGAGTCTCCAGCTAAAGCCAGAAGGCTCCTTGGTGCAACGAGGCCCCTTCTTGTCAGCTCCATCTAAACGTGAGTGGCCTCAGGACCTCCTAAGTACAAGGATGTCTCTGTAGAAGTTCAAGGATGTTGAGCAAATAAATTCAGAGGGGCAAAGCAGAGGCCAGGAAAGCTCTGAGGCTGCTTCTCAAGAACTATGCTCCCAGTCTTGGGAAGACCAGCCTCACAGGGTGAGCGCGCAACACAGGATACCAGACCTGCAGCCTCTCTCCTTATCCCGCCAGGAAGGCAGGAGAGCCCTGGGTCCTGCGTGTGTGGGAAGTGTCTTCAGCACTTCTTGTCGCTTTCTATTCTGTGCTGTGAACGTCGGGCAGGTAGAAAAAAGCTGGTGAGGCTTCAAGGCCCCTGGAGTCTCCCCTAGCCAGAAGCCATTCTCACAGTAGGCTGCAGTTCGAGTCTCAAGTTAAGTCAGTTCAAGTTAATTATCGTAAACACAGATTAACAGCCAGACCATCAGATCTTAAAACATATAAACACATATAGCAATTATATTACATCAAGGGACACCTTTAGATAGACATTGGCCATGCCAGATCAAAATCAAGATTTCTAGCCGGGCATGGTAGTGCACACCTGTAATACCAGCACTTAGGAGGCTGAGGCAGGAGGATCATTGTGAGTTTGAAAGCACCCTGAGCTACAAAGTAAGTTCAAGGCCAGGCAGAACTGCATAGTAAGACCCTATCTCAAAAAAAACAAAAAAAAAAAAATCAGGATTTCGTTTTTTCTTTCAAATACATTTTATTTCAAGGAGAAAAAGAAAAAAAACTAAATTTCAAAACACATCAATCGGGGGCAACAATGGTATATATATTGTACATTGTTATCCCAAATCATTCATCCAGAGCACAAGACATCAGCATTCAACTGTCCAAACAATACCAGCACAAATCTTTCTCTCCAGTGAACTCAAAGAAATCAGTAGTATAACTACCTTAACTATTTTATATACATATACATATATACATTACATATTTCTTTCACTTTCTCACACTGAGACAATACAATGTTTACACATGCATGTCTTATTTATCTCACTAATCAAAATGGTCTCAAGTTGCATCCATTTACCTATAAAAGTCTCCAGTTTATCCTTCTTTATGGCTAAGCAATTCTGCATTGTATAGAAATACCACATCTTTTTTATCCATTCCTCAGCCAATGGGCATTTAGGTTGTTTCCAAGATCTGCCTATTACAACCTCTGCTCCTTTAAACATGGGTGCACATGTATCATTATGGTAGGATGTTTTTAATTCTTCTGGGGAGATATCTAGAAGGGGAACAGCTGGATCGAAGAGGACCTCTAGTCCTAGTTTGTGAGGAATCTCCACACTGATTTCCACAGTGGTTGTACCGATCTGCATTCCCACCAACAGTGGAGAAGGGCTCCTTTTCCCCACAGCTCTCCCAGCACTTCTTATTGGTTGATTTCTTGATAATAGCCATTCTTTCTGGAGTGAGGTAGAATCTCAGTGTACAATCAGGATTTCTTAAAGCTTTCCAGTGAGTCCGACATCAGCCAAGTTCAGGAACCATAGGACAAAACCACTCTAAGTTAGATGAAGCCAAAAAGGGGTGCACTGCTTTGGTGTTCTCATGAACACCTGTCAGTTACACAGATGAATGGCTGTGACCTAGGCAAGTCACCTCATCTTTTGGGGCCTCTCTCTCCTTATCTGAAAAAAGAAGACAACTTTATAAGCTCCTTTTATAAGCTTTATAAGGGTCAAATGAGACAACTCTTGTAAGCCCTTGGCTTAGTACCTGCTACAAGGAAATGACCCGGGGCTCTGAGCTCTGACCTCTTCTATGGTTTGAGAGCTTGTGGTGGAATTTTCTATGCAACGTTTTATAATCCAACATTATTTCCTCACTTGCAGAGATGCACACTTTTTGCCATTTAACATCTTTACAAGAGAGATGAAACTTGTCTCTGATGGTATCTGATGTTCGGTGACACGCAGTAACAGAATACTGTAGTCCCAATAAAGAGGAAAAGTATCTACTTGAGTACCAAGTGCCACATGGGCTTTCCTTGACCGCCATGTCCCCCTGAGGAGCGCTGTTATATGCTCCCCACTTAGCAGATTGCTAAACCAGGGCCCAGATTTAAACACCTTGCCAAAGTTCCATACCAAGAGACAACAGATATCTGAACTCAGGTCCTGCTTGCAGTCTATGGTCCTAACCCCTGCTCTGCAGCAGCTCAGGGAAACCAGGGTCCAGGAGCAGAGCTGCCCAGCTGGGACCTGAATTCTCTGCTGGGCTTCCATGCCAAGATGTGTTCCTGCCTGCAGCTGGGGGCTGTGTGTGGCCATGTGACTGCTGCAGTGGCTACCTGGTACCCTGGTGTTTCTCACTGAGCTAAGCCCTTTGCTGACCTCCACTGGGTGCCTTCTCCAACCTATCAGATGTGACTTGGGCCCCTAAAGTACAGTGGACCAGTCTTTCCCTCCACCCCCAAGGACCTCAGTCCTCCTGTTCCTTGAATCTGCCCGGCAGGGGGCCCCCTTGTTGGACCCTCAACCACCCATCACCAGTGGGACCCCTTGTTGGAAGCATCCTTTTACCCAGCGAGCCAGATGGGATTGTTATCCCCACCTTGAAGGCAAAGAATCTGAGCAACCTGCTGAGATGGAACAGAAACCAAGGTCTGAGTGGCCACTATGCCCCTCTTTCAGTAAATATTTCCTGACTGTTGGAAGCCTCTCAGGGGTGGGTGCTGGGCACCAAGTGGAGAACAAGGCAGGATGAAGCTCATACCCAGGATCCTGCAGTGAGGGAGCAGAGGAGTTCCAGCTGGGTGCTCACAGGCACCTATACACAAATCCCTGAAAAGGAAGCCAGCAGGAGTGACCACAGTGCCTGCCAGGCATAGCATCAGGCTGAGAGCTGGGCAGGGCTGTAGAGGATGGATTTTCAAGGGTTGGCCCCCAACATACCCCAGCAGCAGACTCAGACTGACTCAGGTCCCCACCCACCACCTCTGGCAAAGGAGGGGTTGGTCCCGGGAGCTCCTGGCCCCAGCAAGGCTGTGCATACCATTCAGCCCCAGCTTGGATTCCAAGGAAAAAGACCAAGAGCAAGACAGCAAACAGCCTGACCAGCCAGAGGAGCTGAAAGGCTTTCATCAGAAATCTCGTGGAAATCAAAACCCTAGCCCAAGCCTTCCTTGCCAGATGAAAGTAGCCTGCTTCAAACTCTCCAGGCTTCAGTGCACAGCACTTGGGCTCCCTGCACCTCCACAGTCCAAGTTGCAAGCTACTGATCCCATGTGAATCTCACTCTCCTCCCCATTTCTAGTTGTGACATGTGTAAATCTAAAGATACTGAAGTGCTCTCCAATAAACTGTTTTTAAAAATCATTAATGGCCCAGAGCACCATGCCAAAATTGTGGTCATTCCCCGAAGTCACCCTTACCCACATGGTGCCCATGTTTCCATGGTGCCAGCAGGAAAACAGCAGCAGAAGATGGGCTGCAGGGAAATCAGGCAGCACAGGCCAGGAGCAGGGGCTGGCTCAGCCCAGCCAAGCCAGGAAGAAGCGTGAGCACTCACCAGGGAGTGGGTACCCTTGTGGGCTGCTCCAGTGCCTGTACCAGCCTGACCCAGGACCCTGCACACACACAGACCCTTCAGAGTGTCAGAGCCAGGTAGGACAGAGCTGACAAATCCAAGCTCTTGTGCCAGTTCTGTTTCCATCAGCTGTGACCCAGGACAGGTCCTTACCTCCCCTGGAAGTGTACAGTCACATGGCAGAGTCCCCTGGGCTGCTATGAGGACCAATGGAGTTGTGGAGCCAAAGTGGTTATGAACCAGAGTCATGGTAGCCTTGGGCCTGACTGAAGCCAGTGCCAAAAAAGAGAGATGGGAGCAGATGGAGAGTCTCCAAATCCCAAGTCAGGTACCTCACAACAGCAGCAGCAGCCCTGGGGTCTCCTGTCCCAGGCTGCACATTGCAGGCCAGCAGTGTTTTTGGGTCCTCTAGTGGCTCACAACAGGCAATCACATCCCTCCCCCCACCCTGCTAAGTTATTTTTCTAGGCTTCCCTAGAAAGCCTTCCCCTGTGACATCTGGGGCCAGATAGTGCTGGGGCCCGAGGCCTAGGACTCATAGTACTTTCCAGTGGCCCATGAACATGTTTACTCTTAATTTACTTTAAAATCAGAAGATTGAACACACAGTCATAAATTCAGTTTGGATTACGTTCATCTTTATAACAAGGATACTTTCTTTATTCCTTTATTCCTTTCTTCCTTCTTTTCTTTCTTCCATTCTTCTTTCTTCCTTATTAGCTTTGTTGTTTGACACAGGCTTTCTCTCAGTAATTCACATTGGCCTTTAACTCACTATATAGTTAAGGCTGGGCTTGAACTTGTGTTGCACCACCACATCTTGTTATAAAAACTTATACAAAAATGTTGGTATAAGGTGACATTCTGTCATACCTTCCAGCACTTGGGAGCTGAGGTTGCCTTAAGTTCAAGGACAGCCTGGGCTCCATAGCAAGACCCTGTCTCAAAAAACCAAATATATAAAAAGGGCTTCTATCGTAAGTGGCACATATAGGGCAACTTGTTTGCTCTGCTTGTGCAATCAACATCAAGAGATTTTGGAAGCATTATTTTTTGGTACTTGGGCAGCTAGTGATCATTGGTCCTGGAGCCCTTAAAAAATTATATATATATATATATATATATATATATATATATATATATATGTTCCAGCTGCAGGCAGGAAGGGATGCAAGTTGCATGGGCCTCCTCCTCTTCCTGAAACCCTCAGACCCTGCTAAGAGCTGTGCCAGCCACAGTCCCCTCCCCAGCCCAAAGCCTGGGGAGCCCTGACCAAGACACCACGGCTTATGCCAGGAGCTGACCCACAACCCCAACCATCCTCACAATGTCACTTCACCTGCCCTTTGGGGCCAGACTCTCTCAAGGTCTACTCCAGCTCAGCCAGTATGCTGTACTGCTGTGGACACCTTTCCTAACCACTGTGCCAGTCACCTCTGTGCTGCAGGAGTAAAGCAGTGCTAATCCCTCAGGGATAGGGCACTGACACTGACTCCCTTCTTCTCATCACTCTGCCACCCCCTTCCCTGCTCCTTTCCACTGCACACTGTGCCCACTGTCTCTTGTTTTCTTCTACTTTGATCTCTCCAGAGCTGGCACCAAGAAGAGCAGGCCAGGCTGAGAGCACAAGGTCAGAGCCAAGTCGGGCCCTGGTGATAGAGAGGACAGGATCCACACAGCCTGCACCTGCCCAAGGCTCAGGGAAACAGCCTCCCCCCACAGCATCCTTGTGGTGCTTTCCCAGACGTAGAGAATTGCTGTTCACCCTGACCTCAAAGGCAAAGAAGACATGGAAGAGGAAAACATCTCAGCAAGAGCCAGCCCAGCAGCCCAGCCAGCAGGCCTGCAGGAGGCACTGAGAAATGAAGGTCTCAATGGGAAGGATGGGGTGCTGGAGGGACTGGGAGCAGCAAGGCGCCAGCCATCCCATGCCAGGGTGAGCCCAGACACTGGGTCCTCAGCAACATAGTGTCCCTGTGCACATCCCAGCTGTGATGCCCTGCCTGCTCCCCTAGTTTCCTGTATAAGGGTTCTAGTCACCTCACCCTTGCTTTACGACGAGGAAACTGAAGCACTAGCTGCCTGGAATTGACTGGGGTTACACAAACCCTGGCACTCTGGCAGAGAGGCTGGGTCTCTGCTATACTCTACTGCCTCCCCAGTTTACTCCTGACCTTTCTATTGAGATATCCTCATTTTTCTATTACCATCAACTTCCAGCTCATGTGCTGTTTTTCCATTCAAATATGTTTTTTGGCATCCCTGAATTTTATCAGCTTGTGAAGTACTCACTTAAGTTTTGTTTGTTTGTTGTGGGGCTGAAGTTTGAAAACAGGATGCACTCACAGAGCTGCATCTACAGCCATTTTACCTTAAGACAGAGTCTCGTTAAGTTGCTAAGTTGCCCAGTTGGAGCTCAAACTTTCAATCGTCCTGCCTCAGCCTTCCAGAGCGCTGGATGACACTTGAACACCACTACTGTCACCTGCCTTCTCAGTAGCTTCCTGCTGAAATCAAGCCCATGTCTCCAGCGAGGAAAGAGCAGAGGGTTGTGCAGCAAGGAGATCCAAGACAAGAAGGCTACTGGGATGGGGCTATTTTGGAGACAACAGTGAAGAACAATGAGGACAATGATTACATCCACCTCACTGTAGACTGAGGTGCAGGTGAGGTAGACAGTGTCACACAGGATTAGTGATCAGTGTCACACAGGAGGATGATGGATGGTGAGGAGCAGGTGAGGTGGACAGTGTCATACATATGATCTGAGTGATACAATTCATGTGAAAGCCACAATGCATTCTAAAAAATAAAGAAAATGTGTAAGTTAGGGAGGAGAGAGGGCAAGCAGAAGTCCCATGATGAGCAAATTGGCCCTGTTGTGGGCTCACAGCTGAGATGCTCCTGCCACAGCCCCTGACACTTCAGCATGCACTTTACATCTAGCGTGATAGTCTGGGCACAGTGACCGGCACTGTGGGCCGGGTGCAGTGAGGTGCCCTCCAGATCCCCACTATTGTAAGATACCTGTGCTGTGAGCCTTTGGAGAAGGCTTCAGCTCCTTCAGAGATAGCCAGGATTTTGTGCACAAAATCACTCCCACACTTATGGGAAGCCCCGTAATTGGCTGCCACCTTATATCTGCAGACAGCACCACCTTAACCCCCTCTAGGAGTTAAGTTTGGTAGTTAAGCAGCTCCTTGCCTAGCCTGTTTGACCTATTCAAGGATTATGTTAATCAGCCCATGCATGGGAAATCTGAAAATTTAAATTAATCTATAACCCTCGGTCTTGCCACTGTTGCTAAGTTACCTGCTGATGTCTCAGAACCCAATTCCCTACTCCCCCCAATACCCTACATATTTGTTACTCTTTCCTTAAATAAATGAGACTTGATTGGATTTCTGATTTGTCTCCATCCTTCGTGTCTCTTGTCCCCTCTCATCCCCACTCCCCCTCTAGGGTCTCCATGGACTCACCCACAGGCGGGGACAAGTGGTGCCCAACGTGGGGCTCGAGAACAGGGGACTTCATGAGGGACACTGTTCATGGGCCCAAAGTAGAAAAAGGAAAAGAAAATAGAGGACCTGGCAACATGGGAGCCTGCCTCACTGCTGAACCTCGGTAAGTGAACAGTGATTATGAGACAAGAAATTAGCCTGCATGATACTTTTGTTGAAAGTTTAGTAAAAGCTTTAAAGATGTGAGAAGTAAATGAAAAAAGTAAGCAATTGTGTCCATTAGGGCAAGAAATGAGCCAGCATGAGATTTTTGTTGAAAGTTTAGGAAAAGCTTTAAAGATGCAAAGAGTAAAGGAAAAAAATTAAGCAATTGTGTCCATTAGGGCTTAATAAACTTTATCTCGGGAGCAAAGTGACCCCGTAATTGTTAACGCCCAACCCCCTCCAGGCTTAACACACTGCAGGGCCACCCTGAGCCAGGTGGCCCAGTGCAGACAAAGCCATTAGCACAGCCCTAGCTGCACACCCCTTCCCCATACTGTAACCGCTGTATTGCTCTGGCTTCAGCATGTTTAGCTTTCAATACTAGGAAGGAATTAAGAGACTAAATTAAACTTTTAAAAGAGCAAATTATATTAGAAAAAAGAACATCAGGAGTTTTCCACCACTATTCTGGTTTTGATTTCAAACTGATAAAATTAAAAACAGTGGTTGTACAGTAGGGAGACACAGCCATGTATACTCTTGCTGTTTTGGATTCTTTGGCTGATGGCTGGCTCACACCTACAGATTGGCAAAGATTGGCGTAAGCAACTTTATCGGGTGGGGATTATCTTTTGTGAAAATCAGAATATATAGAACATTGCAAAGAGACCGCCAGGTGCAATATGTAAGCCGACAATGGGTAGGACCTTGATATGTTAATAGGGGAAGGTGCCTATGCAGACAGAGAGGCTCAAAAGCAATTTAATCCAGCGCTTTTTGCTCAAATTTAAACAACAGCTACGTGAGCATAGAAAAAACTGCCTACAAAAGGCGATATGAGTCCCTCTCTCACGAGCATTAAACAAGGGCTGGGGCTTTAGCTAAGCAGCTGCCAGCCAAGCACAAGGTTGTGAGTTCAGACCCTGGGGCCAGGAATTTAGCTCAGTGGCGCAAGTGCCTGCCTAACAAATGAAAGGCTGTGAGTTCAATCCATTGACATTGGAACTCCTTATCAAAAAGGCCTTGCTATGGCTGCTACCTTACAAGCATTTACAGTTAAACAATTCTTATCTCAAAAGCATAAACAAAAATGTTTTACCTGTGGAGAAACTGGTCATTTTGCAAAGAACTACAAAAAGGACTCCAAAGATAGAACATCTTAATATTAATCATATAAAAGGCATAATTAAAAGGGCACATCCCTCCCTAAAACTCACTGTTGATAAAATAAAAAAGGAGGATGGTTGTTTTAGATAAATAAAAAAATGGGGAATGGTACCCCATAAGGGGCCACCTAGAAATATTCTATCTCATACCTTATTCATCCTTAATTTTTTAAAATTTGGATGCTGCTGGACAATCAGCAGCCACCCATTTTTGGCATACTGAAACACAAAAGCAATTTGCTTCTGTACTATGTGGAGAAACCCCCTGACTAACTTATGGCATGGTCCAGAGCCAGTCCTTATCTGAGGATGAGGATCAGTATGCATATACTCTAAAAGAGATGAAATCTGCGAGATGGCTACCAGAACGATTGGTCAAACAAATAGATCAAATGAAACAAATAGAGGACAATGTTACAGATGACTCCAGGGACAAAAATGACCCCTGAGAGACTTTCTCCCAGCTCTTGTTTTTCAGATGATGGAGCTGACAGCCTCGATCCTGTCCCTTGGTATTATGATGATTCTACCGCTGCCAGAAAAGGGAGGCTTTGGACCCCCTCGTAATGCAAGGGCTCTAAGTGCCACTCTGTTCGGTTCCCCATGTGATTGAAAGGGAGGTATAGTTAAAAATAAGCCCACCTCTTACACTACAATGACAGATTACAATGATAAGATGATATACCTTCGATACAGCTCCGAAGTGGGAGGAGGCTATGCACAAAAATGGGTATGTCTCCCCAAGCCTCCTATAACTCCCAAAAATAAGGATCAATTAGACCCATGTCCTGACTTAAAGTGTAATGCCACCCTCCCCTTTAGAGTGCAGCCTATAGGTTTCAGAGATTCCCCCTACTTCCAGGGAAGTTCTCAGAATGATACCTCTGACATTGATGTTGGGTTTGTCACCCTCACTGACTGCAGTTCTATAATTAGTTGGACCATTGCTTGGACTGTTGGTTTTACTCTCATTAGGCCCTTTTCTTTTTAATAAGTTGATGGCTTTTGTCAAACAACAGGTGGATGCCATTAAAATGCAACCACGGGCTTAGAATGGCTGATAGAGAAAATTACACAGAGCCTGCAAAACCATATTATGATAATGCTTTGTGAAAACATGTTGCCCACTCCATTTCCCTTACCTTGGTGCAATAGACTGGATAGTCAGAGACGGCCTCACACAGGATGCCAACCTCCACTTGAGACAGGAATTGGACCTCTCACTGCCCTGCCTTCCAATGACAGGTAAGGCTAGGTCGGCCCC